AAGAGAAGTCTTCAGACTAGTTTTGACCTTAATGGAGATAATTACCTGGGAATAAATTTCTGACATTTCAACTCGTGTATCAGTGCAGTTCTTGGGGAGAATGTTAAATGGCATTAGGGACATGTGTCTGTTGGGTCCTGCTTTTGAGTTCTGCTGGAATCCTGCACCTCTTTCTTAAGGAAGAAGGGGTGTGATTGTGAGGTGCTTCCGTTGGTACACTGAACCGGGTGATTGGATGCCCCATCCCTGGAGGGGCTCAAGGCCAGGCTGGATGAGGCTTTGGGCAACCTGGGCTGGTGGGAGGGGTCCCTGCCCATGGCAGGGGGTGGCACTGGGTGGGCTTTAAGGTCCCTTCCAACCCAAACCATGCTGGGATTCTGTGAAAATTTAAGAGCAAGTTATTAGGCTTAGTCTAAAATGCCATGGTATCTGTAACTTGGACTAGACATCAGTGCGGGAGAGCGGTAATAAACAAATGCAGACTCCACTGACTGCAGCAGTTTCATCTTTTAAATGGTGCCCTGCAAAAGGAGCAGGTACAGAAAAGGTCCAGGACTTGCAGACAAGGAAGGAGAAACTCTTGGTAGAGAGAAGAATGTAATGCAGAACGAGGTAAAGATACAAACACCCGCATGGTTAATTAGCACTTTTGTGTTGGATGTGCAGTGGCAGCTGTAGTGTTTGCTGTGAGCATCCTTACGGGGTCCCAGTGTGGGGTGGTGTGACTGTGGAACCGAGAGGAGGCTTGAGTTCCAGCTGCTGTTCTGGTAAACACGAGTGCCTGTTTGTGTAAAATATCTACAAGAGAGGAAACCGAGACCTTATTAGGATGTAGATTTGTCTGGCATTTGTGGTGTTGACTTGGAACTCGGGAAATGGCTTTAAAATACACACACTAGTTGTGTCAGCGAAGATTCAAACTTGCTCAAAGCTTGCAGAAACCTAATTAACTAGTTGTCAGAGGAAGGAGCACAGCTAGGACAACACGGGCTGTTTGTGTTCGAGCAGGCAAGCTGTGTCTGCGCAGACTATAGCTCCACCTCTGAACTGTCTAGACCACATTGGAAGTGCAATTTATTATTCTTATTTTACAATAAAACACAGATGTATTTTTTAGAAA